TGATTCTATGATTCTATGATAAGGAGTTTACCAGAAGTATCTGAGACTCAAATCTGCCTGGGTTAGCTGTTGCAATGTCATTGTCAGAGCAAATTCAGGGTTAATTCCCACCTCAATTCAAGGTTACAGTGGGTGTATGTAGTGTCAGCTTGGGGTTCCTCTTGTGGCTTCTTGGCTTAAGGGCACTGGACTGCTAGATTGATTTGATATCCAGAATGCTCAGGTGGCTTTGAAATCCTAACTGCAGTCAGTAACAGGGCAGAGGCTGGGCCTCTCCTGCCCACATATAAAAGACAGTAAAGAGATGTTCTTAAGGGTGGTCACTAGAGCTTTTCTAGAAGAGATATTTTAAACAGCAAAAATAATAAAGTGTTTAGTGTGAGAACCAGAAAGTAGCATCCAGAGCAGTGTGGAAAACAGATAGGAGATCCCACCCTGGGTGGGAAGGGAGTTTTGGGAAGAAATGTGGAGCAAGAATAGCTTTTATTCCTCTCTATTTAATCATTATGATGTTTCTCACGAATACGGAGCTCTTGATCCAGAACCTAATGTATGCTTTGTGGTTTCACTGGAAAACAAAATTCAAATACTTTGGCATCCTGCATCTTCTATGGTCTGTGCAATGTGTAGAAGTAAATGTGAAATGCTTCTGTCCTGTGACCAAGTAGCATTTCGTGCTTGTTTTGACCCAGATGTAAATACCACAGTGGACACAAAAGAGCAAGAATCAGGTCTGCATGTTTCACGCTCTGAAAGTCTCCCGGGAAGGGCAGAGGGCAGCAAAGCAGTAGGAAAGGACCAGAGCCTACAATCAGTGCAGCAGGACAAGGGCAGTATTTTTAATACCAGACTTACAAACACAAAGTACTTACATGTTTAGAAACATACTAAAGTTTGTAAAAATCACTGTTTGTCAGCTGTATGGCTTGAGAGGTACCTTAGGGTAATCCTGTGCCTTGGGCTTAGGCCACTTATGCAGAAAAAATTCTGACACCAAAAGTGTGTTGCTTAGGTGCTCGTATACGAGTATTTATGTTGGGGAGTATCATCTATTTCCATATGCTTTCTTATCCAGTAGTTCTTGGTGGCAGATGCAGCTCTGGCCCCAAAACAGAAGGGGATGGAGAACACCATGTTCTCCAATGTCTGCCTGTTCCAAGTGCAAGGGTAGTCGAGGAGGAATAGCGGACTTCTAACTGCTCCCCGTAAAACTGTGCCTAACGGTGATGTTTATGATTTCACTTTCAATGGGCTGTCTCATGTCCTTGATCTAGTGTCCTTGATCAGGCATCGTGTTGATGCAAATCAAGCTGCCCATGTGCATCTTGAGCTGTAGAGAGCATAAAATCTGAGTCATTCTGATAAAAATACAAAACTTTCTGACTTCAGAAACAGAAAACAAATATCAAATACTTTGGCATTCAGCTCTTCAGAAGTTGCTTTAAAATACGCATGCACCCCACCCCCCATTTCCTAAATTAAGTTGTGATTTATTTCCAAAGCACTAATTCATTCTAGTAGCACAGAGTGGCTGTGATTTTTAAACGTATTTCATCAGTATACCGCTGTAATTCCAACAAACACCATTCAATTTCCATTGAGTTTTGTCAAGTCCTAATGAACATTATAAATACAAAATATGTCTTAATTTCATAGTCCTGCAAGCTGTCTTCATGCAGGATTGTGAAGATGGTTGCCCATATTAGTGAGGAAAGGAAATTATTTTTTTTTTAGAACGGTGGCATTGTTCAAAACTGGCGGCTGGGAAAGTACAGAATAATATGGTCTACATGGCAAATATTTTGATATTTTAACATCTATTACCATCTTATAGGTGTGAGTGATGTATCTGTGTTCTGTCAAAGGAATGGTTGAAATTTAATATTGCTAGTTCATTTAGCCTTCACCTTACAGGAGGCATTGTGTGTGGCTCTGTTCAGTTTCAGAATAACTATGGCATTTGCTTATTTGTGACCTTGTATGTTGGTGAGCCTAGCTACACAGATAATCGGTGATGAATCAGGACATCCAAAAAGGACCACCCGAAACAGCACGTGGAATAAATTAGTACAGATTAAGACAGTTTGGAAATGCACTCATGGCCTGATTTCTTCATTGAAAGACCACTGAAACAAGACTTCCTCTTGAAATAAGGCAGCATTCATGTCCTTATTTGAATGCACTCACTAAATAGAATACATGGCACAGCATATGCAGCTCTTCTGTATCTTAGAGAGTGTCTGAAAGACAGAAACACTGCCGAAGAATTGTTTCATGTAGTGTAAAGAGGTGGATACTGGCGGCTGTAAAGGCAGGGTAACGGTAGTGACACTAGCTTTCAGGAAAGCATCATGTAAGAAAGAGAACAGTGGAATAATTTCCAAATTAAGCATTAAAGATTATTGCCTGAAAAAGTTGGTCTTGGCTGTTAGTGGTGGTGATGCAAGAGTGGACTATACAACCATTTCGTAGTGTCAGAAAAATGTCTTTCTTTTCTATCTTTGCCTAATAAGATAAACTGTTGTTGTTCCATTTCCAGTTCCTACCTTGCTTGAAAATTTTCTGGTGTTTTTTTTTTGTTTTGTTTTGTTTTTTTGTGTTTTGGTGTTTGGTTTTTTTGTTTGTTTGTTTGTTTGTTACTATATTTATAATTCTTCTGAAGAATCTCAAAGATTAAGGTTTCCATTTGCTGTTTTTGAAAGCAAAAAAAAAACTTGCTAGGTAGTTCTCTCCTTGGAGAGAAAGCCTTTAAGTGTCTTTTGATAAGATCCAGAACATTGGAATCTGGGACCTCAGCTCCATGTCTTGTTGTTTGAAAAAAACCCACAAGACAAAACAGGTAGCAGATGACAAATAAAACAGTTATTCTTGATGCTTAAAAGATCTTTATTTATTTAATTTTTTTCTATTTGATGCAGTGAGTGCTGTGAAATAAAGAGAGATGGAAAACAATATGTTGCTTGTGTCATAAGAATGAAAGTATATGATATTTCTGAATGCTCTCTCATCTTTTGCATCCCATGAGCTTGTATCTGAAGACTGAAAATAATTTTCACTGGAAAATCACTAGAAATTTTTCATTTCATTTTGCTGCTCTGATCTGGATGTTATAAATTCAAGCTGTTCAAAGCTATCAGGATACATATTTGACAAAAATCAATGGCATGTTCTGGCCCCCAAATTTGAAACAAGAGCAAAATTTGAGCAATTTACAAATAACTGTAGTACGGCTTGTATTCTAAAACATTGGCACTTGTCTCTTTCTTCTCGTTTAACAGAGTGCAGATCTGATCAGTGCGTTGTGCCGGAACTTCCAAGAAGTCCAAGCAAGCAGTATGGAAGGACAGAAGGACAACCAGGATCCACCTCCACGGCCACTGCCTCGCCACCTTTCTGACGCAGATAGATTGAGGAAAGTCATCCAAGAACTTATGGACACTGAGAAATCTTATGTCAAGGTAAAAAACCAAAAACAAATCTGGCTAGCTACAGCCTTGTTTCCTTATATTTGAGGCTTATCATGATTTGTGGATGGTCTTAATGTATTTTATGCTTACCTTTAGATAACCAGCCCTCTACAAGAACCATAACCTACAAAGGCTGCTTATCTGATTGTTCCTGTTGTTTTCAGCAGGCTTACTCCTGTAATAGAGGCTGTAGGATTTGATCTAGTAGCTCTAGTTCTGGTCAATTTGTGTTTATATTGGAGAATGGTAATTTGTGTGGAGTAGGTACCTGCGCTGTGTTGACACAGGGGTTTTCCAGGGGATGTTTCCCTTGTTTTTAAGATTAAAATAAATCTGGTAAAAGAACAGAATATAGTCTCCTACAAATTAAAAAAAGTTTAAGGGTGGAAAATAGTGCATAATTATTTTTGAGTCAACAATGCTAAGAGTCACAGCTCCAGTTGGTTGTAGCATCACACATGTTATTTCTCCTCTGACTGACAAATCTATAATTTGTTAGATGGATGTCTTTTATTTTTGTAACACACAAATTCATGTGACTGGGTACCAAAGGAAACATGAAAACATTGATTTCCTTGACTTTCAGCAAGGAGGGATCATCTGCTTTACTGGACACCAGAACACACACTTACAGACATCAGTACTTGCTGCAGTAATGTGTGTGAAAAAGAGGAGCAAACACCTTGAGTCTGTTGTTGTTAGTACATCCACCAACACACTAATAGAGCCATATGGTGTAAAGCTTGAGGAAGCTTGACAGAACATGGACCCCCACAAATGTCCAGCTGATGTTTCTTACAGAGGAACTGCTTGAACAAAGGCATGACCATGGAGGTCACTGACGTGTGAAATTTTGCACCGGGCAAAATCCTGGCAGGGTGCCCATACTTGCTGCAGTGTTCTCAGCAAGGTGCTCGTTGTTCCTTCTTCATGAGTATTTCTGCCATTTCCCTTCTCAAGGTTGGGAAGCCCTGCAGTGGACCCCAGCCCTTCCATTGCGTTTTGATGTAGGATAGTAAGTCTTCAAAAGTGGCATGAATTCTTTGAAGAAGTGACAGAAAAAGCCTTGATCACAACATAACTGAACACTTTAATAACAAATAGGATTTAAAAATGTTACATGTCCTTCTGAATATTACTACTGATGTTTAAATGAATGGCTATTTATATGGTTTATCTAACAAACATGATTAAAACATTTGATGCTGTTCATATACATGGACTCCTTAGAAAGCCATGATCTGTAACATATTCTCCTCATGCTATGCTAAGATATAACTTGTATCAAGCTGTAAAGCTTTAACAATGAAACAAAAACTTTACCCTGAAATAAATTTGTGTCTAATTTAGTGTCATTTCATTGCTAACACACAGGTTATTTTATTACAGAATTTTATCTCTAGTTCATTCCCCAAAAAAATTACCCCTATCCCACAGCTGTTGCAGAAAGAACAATTTCAAAATCTTATGCATAAATTGAATGAATTTTCCTTTTTACAGGACTTGAGCTGCCTCTTTGAGCTATACTTGGAGCCCCTTCAACATGAAACCTTCCTTACCCAGGATGAGGTGAGGGAATAACAGCAAGATGTGCTTTTAATTCTTTTATGGGTTAAGACCTGGGCACTGAGTTTTTCATTGCTGAGATCATGTCAGAAAAAGCAAACAACAAAGATACCAATAGGAATTACACCAGTCAGTGCCTTTGTGTCTGGTGTGTGCATCACCTTTTTCTTTTAAAGGATAATTGTTCTTCTGACTTAACTGCTAAGAAATATTTTTTTTTTGTAAGCATTTTTTTTTATAAAATCTATTTGAAAACTATTAACAAATACAAGGTTATTTGCCTTCACAAGCTCTTTGTGTGTCACATCTCCTTAGTGCACTGTTTTCACAAGAACACTATTAGGTGCATGGAGAGCTGTACTTCATAGCCCAATGTTTTTCACAGATGGAGTCTTTGTTTGGCAGTCTGCCAGAAATGCTGGATTTCCAGAAGGTGTTTTTGGAGACCCTTGAAGATGGAATATCTTCATCCTCAGATTTTAATACGCTGGAAACACCATCCCAATTCCGGGTAAATATTTTGTCATCTAATACTTTGTGAAGTGCTGCAAATGTTTGTGAAACTGACGTTAAGAACTCTAAGTTCATATGGTTGCTTTTATGTTTGAAGCTCTACTTTCTGTTACAAACATCTATTCAGGAATGGTAGATCATTGCTGGTTTTCATGGTTTTAATCTTCCTCTTCCCCATGGCAGAAGATGCAACATGGAAGATACAGAGTAGACTTTGAGTATGCTATAAAATAGCAATGCTTATTATGCAGAACTCCTCTGTAGAAAGGTTAATGGTGCTGTGCTGAATTCTGCCCTGCCCAGTGCTCCTCCTCGCTGTGCCCAGTTTACCTGCTACAGTCTGGGAGCTTTTCCCATTAAATGCCACATGTGTTTCCCATGTTGAGAGGTCCAAGAGGAGGGCCTATGAAGTGTAAGAGGCTGTGGACTGTGTCACAGTGGCACCACCCAGTACCTGCTCTAACTGGAGGATGGAGGTTCTCTGCAAGTGGGGTCACTGGCTCAGGACTGGGCAAGACTGCTGGCAGGTCTCCCAGACACTTGCTTCCTTCTGTGGAGCAAACATTGATAAAAAAGAGAGGAGAGGGCTGCTTTCCTCCTACTCCTTCTTCTCATCCCCCTCCTCCTCCCTCGCAACTCCTCTTTCTTATCTTTGCTTCAGGAAATATTTTTCTAAAAACATCTCCCTCATGATTCAGTCCCTCCCACATCTTCCCAACCCTCCCCTTCATCCAAGAACATCAGAGGTGCCATCTAATTGCCACTTGCCTGAAAGAAAGAAAACAGTTGGAAAGCAATACTCTGTTTGCTTTACACTGTCCCTTCTGGGTTTGGCACTTTTAGGCCTTGCTTCCTATTGCTCATGTTTTTTTCCCAGTGCAGTATACCCTGTTACACGTCTGTTGATTTTTGTTCCTGTGCTGCCTGAAAGATACAGTAAGACAGAATATCAGCAGTGGTGTTACCTGCTCAGGGACAAAGGAGAAAATTCAGGCTTTGCCTAAATAGGCTGAACTCTACACTCAGAGAAATACAAAAACATTGTGGAGTTACTACCAGTAGTATATTCATCTCATACATATAAAAGGTAGCAGATAGTCACACCATTGAGTTGGTGTGTTATGTGTCTGAATATTTGTTTAGGACTCTAGTAATGAATTAATACTTTGGTTGTGTTGATTTCAGAAATTGCTGTTTTCCCTCGGAGGCTCCTTTCTGTATTATGCTGATCACTTTAAGCTGTACAGTGGCTTCTGCGCAAACCACATCAAAGTTCAGAAAGTTCTTGAGAGAGGTAATTTTTTATCTTCGTTATTGTAATTAATTTGTGTGAGTTTAAACTGCAGTGAGCTACTGTATCTAATCTCATAAACTTGCAGAGAATATTGGTACAAAGCAAGGACTAATTGTGTGTCTTTCAATAGGAATAGCTAAGATTTGAAGTTCTGCTGAAGCATGGTATAGAACTGAAGGGAGTACCCTGAATAGCTACAGAAACATCTTCCCTAAGTTTGTGCTGTCTGCAGAGCCAGCTCATACTCCAAAAAGCAGCAACAAGTGGTAGAAAAAGTTAGAATTACTTCCTCTGTCATTCACTGCAGTGCAGTGGAAAAATTACATTGAGGAATAACCTCACCTTGATATAATTGCTCTTTTAGTCCTTATGGTATTTTATTTAATGTAGGAATTAGTATGAAACAAATAGTGTGGACTACTATGTAAACCTTCCACTGAAAAGGGTGAGAATTGTGGTGCTGGTTACTAGCTGCTGTTCTGTGCTTTCAAATTATTGTAGCTTCTGTGACTTCCATGTTCAATTGACCAACTCTTATTTACATCTAGCCAAAACAGATAGTGCCTTTAAGGCCTTCCTGGATGCTCGAAATCCCACAAAGCAACACTCTTCTACACTGGAGTCGTACCTCATAAAGCCTGTTCAGAGAGTGCTGAAATATCCTCTGCTTTTAAAAGAGCTGGTGTCTCTGACAGACAACGAGAGTGAGGAGCATTATCATTTGACAGGTAACTTCTCCCTTTTTTCTACAGAAATGAATATGAGTTAAGATTTATTTCCAGCCTTTCATGAAGATGCACGTTGCCATTCTAGTAGGCAGCACAGAACTTGTCAAAACCTGGAGAGAATCCCTCTCCTCTCCTTAAAAATGACAAGTAGCTTTTTCATGTTTTTAGCAAAAAGCCCTACTTGGTATGTGCAAGTCCCTCTGAGAAGTAGAAGGGCCCAGGATTTGCCATGGCAGATAGGACTGAGGTCTTTCTCCTCGATTTGCAGAAGAGTGTGCCAGGTCACAGTGTTGTTTTGTTTTTTCCTACTTAGGAAACACTGACCAAAGCTCCATCTTGTGGTTATTATTCAGTTCTTGGAATATGTCAAAAGTCTGAGTGCCACAAAAGGATATTTTAATTGTTTGAGGCTTGGCTTGCAATTTGCAAGCAAAATTCTTGCTTGCATAGAAGAGATGTGTGCCAAAACTTTGCAGTCTTCCCACGTAGAAAGACCTGTCTCTCCTATATTAGATTTGATTGCTTTCCATGCTCAGATGCTTGGGACTTCACCTTGGCAAATTCCAGTTCAGATCTGTCAGTACCTGGTGGATGAAAGTCAAGAGATTTATTTTAGGTTGATTGTCATTTTAGCAAAGTAGATTTAGGCAAAATACACTGTCAGCAAAAAGTCATGAGGCTGTTGCTGAGTTAAACAGGAGCTTCTATTACTGTTCACTTGCCCTTACAACCAAGTTTGGGGTGACTTACTTGCAGGTCAGGATGGATGCCAGACTGCTAAAAGGCTACACCATTAAGATCTGGCAGCCTTCTCCAAGTCCTTTCTGAGTTAACATAAATGTCCAATGAAATCTAGTCATTCTTGCTTGGAAAACAAAACCTGGCCACCAACGTTTAATTTCATGGATATAATCCTTGAGGAACACGTACAACCTACCATTGTATTTCTTTGTCCATTCTGTGGTGAGCCAAATGCCATGTTTCTCTTCAGGCTCGTCAGATGGCTTATCCTAGGATGGGTGTAGATTACTCCAGGAGTCCGAGTGGCCCTATATATACAAGATGCAAAACTTAACTGTGGTTACTACCATGCTGCTATAAATATTCATGCTTCTAGGGGCTTATCACTGGAATGCTTACTGCAGCCTTTTCAAGAACTTAAAACACCAGACGAGCATTTTTCACTTACTCTGATAGGAAGCATTCCTGCTACTGTTGCTATGAGAAAGCACTGATACAAAGCTAGAATTCTGTTCAACAAACCTTGGAAACACTGTGTAGTTTTGCCTGCCTAAAGTGGAATTCAATAAAAAGTCACCTTTAGAAAGTGCAATTGAATTACATGGCTGCCTGTGAAATGTTTAAACTTTATAGAAGCGCTGAAGGCAATGGAAAAAGTAGCAAGTCACATCAACGAGATGCAGAAGATCTATGAAGATTATGGCACTGTATTTGACCAGCTGGTTGCAGATCAAAGTGGAACAGAGAAGGAGGTAAGAGAAGGAACAACACATTTTATTCACTTGTAAAGCATTATCCTGCTTGCCATTGGGTCTTTATCTCTTCCTGAGGTAATTTTAGGATCTTATTTGTGCTGTGCTTCCTCCATTTTCCTTTAATATTTTGACTTCCATTTCATATCTGCCTGTCAAGTTTCTTTTTGTCAGTAGGTTACGGTAAAATTTTCAGACAGCTGCCAGAGCTGCTTTCTGGACTGAGAAGAATTGCAAGCAGGAGTAGACATAGTTCTCATTAGGAAAATTCCTCCACTTCTTAAATGTTGCAGAGATTATCCATGCCCCAAGGCACTCAGCTTTTATGCTATGGAGTTCTTAAGTTCTTAAGATGTTTTTTTCACCCGTATAAATGAAAGTGGCAATTCAAGGGATTTCACATTAAAGTCTGTTATTCTCATTCTCTACACTGCCAGTGCTGTGGCATCCTTGGGTATTTGTCAGAGCAAAACCCATTAGTTAAACAGTCTGTGTGCACGCATCTCCCAGAATTGGAGCAGCAAGGTCTCAGCTTAGCCATTTACCTCGAGCAATTATGAAGCAGATCAAATCTGTAAAGGTAGAGATCAGATATGAGAGATGCCGGCTCGGTTGTTTTATTTCCTCCTAGTGCTCCTGTGGGCTACCTGGTTTCTCATCATTTAGGGGGAAACAAAACTAGACAGCCTGGGAGATTCTTCACAGTGTTAACATTGTGTCCTGCAGAAGAAAGCAGCCTCCATCAATTCTGCCATTGGCAGTGTCATGAATACTAATTATTCTATAGAAATTAAAGATACTTAGAGCTAATAAATCAGTCAGTTCACAGCTGACTATATGTAAGTGACAGATCATCAGGTCACTTAATATTCTTCTATCCAGTTTCCATAACTTAGGGGCTATTACTACTTTTTACATTGTTGCCTATTTTTAAAAGGGGGTTACTCCCACTTTCCCTGCACATAAATACAGGAAAATATAGATCCTTAAAGTTATTGATATGTACTTGCTAACGTTCTACTCACTTATGTGGATCACAGCACTGATTTATATATTTGTACCATATTTATATTATCTACTGTTATGATTTAATACAGGTGACAGAGCTTTCAATGGGAGAACTTCTGATGCACTCTACAGTTTCCTGGCTCAATCCTTTCCCGTCACTGGGCAAAGCAAGAAAAGACCTTGAACTTACAGTGTTTGGTAAATGTCTTTCTTAATGACCCTCTGCTCTTTCAAATCTGAAGATTATCACATTAAGTCTTCTCACAAGATGAAAGCCACCATCTCCTTTCCCTGTAGCTGTGTGATAGCTAGGGTGGACTTATAGCTGAAAAAAACCAAACCCATAGCTGTATTTCCTAATATGAGAAAAGTTTTAATTAATTTGTTTGCTGCTGTTTGCTCTGTGAGCCAACCTCAGCTCCTTTCCTGTTCGTATGTAAGCTATGGAAATCAGTGATTCTCAAGAATCACTGTTCTCTTCAGAACAACCTGCTAAACCAAGCTTTCAAAGGAGGCTAGTAGGAAAATCGTGATTTATTTTACGCTTGTGAATTCAGGCTAGCTTCTGCTTTACAGGTACTGCATCAAAATCCCCATGGAGATTATTTTAACCTGAAAAATGGATGTGGAAATGAGAGCGTACAAACGAGTTTTATTTAATAGTATCTACATGATTAAACATGTAATAATTACCTATGTAATTCAGTCTTCCAGTGAAACATCTTAGGCACTTGTCTATTTCTTTAAAAAAATATTTCTTTAAAATGTCATTGGATAATCGCCTACAGAACAACTCCAGGCTGATGAGAAACAAGTTTCCCTTTCTCAGGACCGTTGCACACTCCTTCCCTGGGAAGCGTGGTAGGTTAGGGAAGGGGATGCCTCTAACAGAAGAACAAACAGGAACAACCCGATGGGTTCCTTGGATCCTGGAGCTTCTCTGTGATCTGAGTATCTCAGACACTTCCCACCAGGTCATGTATGAGTGAAAGGACTCAGGCTTACTCAGGCTTGAAGCTTAGCTTAGACTGCTCGTTTGCCGCTAGGGAAACCGAATTTTACTCTCCAAACCCTACATGGACAGCTTAGAAAAAGCACCCAATATGTGGAACTGGAGGGATCTGCTAACTTCTGGGGTTAATGCTGTGCTTGCTGTGGAAACATCCTGGCTTTATACAGGGATGAGAATCAACTGCCTACAGCCACCCCTCTCTCCTCTTCTACTGAAAGAACAGGTGGATGCATGAGCAGGGATAGAGCTATACTGCCCTTGAATCCAATCTGGGATGCAGGACTGCTCTGCAGATTTAAAAGTAGGAATTGAGATCTTTGGGTTTCCAACTAAGCAAATGCTGAACTGCAAGGACAGGTTTTTTGTAGCATTCTCTTTGCTGTAGGCCCTTCACTCCACTTGAAAATGTCCACTGATGACAAAAAGAAAACCTGAACATTTACATCTAACTTACATCTGCTGTATTTGTTTATGTGAAGACTTACAAGAGACAGGTTGCTGGGAGTTTCAGAATACATGTTCAGAACAAAATCTGAGGAAAAAATGCTGCTATTGCATGAACAAGTGTAGGATGAAAAGCCCAGTTGTCATCCTAATACAGGGAAAAGCCCAGTTGTCATCTTAATACAGGACAAGTGCTTTTCAATCAGTTTGCTTACCTCATCCTTCACATTCCCATGACTTCAATAATCAGCTTCTCCAAGGTAATGTTTTCATTGAATATTACATCTGTGATTAACAGTTTTCCTTTTTTTTTTTTTTCTGTTCTTTTTTAGTTTTTAAGAGGGCTGTAATACTGGTGTATAAAGAGAACTACAAGCTGAAAAAGAAAATGGTAAGTCTGGTAGCAATGGAGGTGGTGGGTATTTATGCACAGGATTCTACTGCAGTGTGACATGATGGGCCACACTGGTGCTGAAAAGAGAGTGACTGCAGTTAAATGCCACCTTCCCTTGCTAGGCTGGAGTTCTAGCCATCACAGCCAAAACAAGTGCTCAGTATCTTTGTAGCAAGAAATATTTTTTGTTATTTAGTGAGCAGCAGCATCTTCTCTGTGTGAGCCCCACATGATTTTCATCATTTGGCATATGAAACATTGCCATGGAGGCATCATTAATTCTTCCAGATGACATTTGTGATGGCCTACCTTAACACAGTGTCTAGGCTAAAAGCTCTGGCTATAGACATTTGATTGCCCTGGAAGGAGAGGAAAAGCAGCATAATAAGCATAACCTCCTCATGGAATGCTGAAGTCAAATAGCAAGTTGTATATCCTGGGTACCGGTGGTGAAGTGCTGCCCGTGCTTATCATAACAGATGGAGGGCCTCCGAAAGCAGCAGCAGCAGCTACATAATTAATGTATTCTGCTAATCAAAGTCTGCAGGTTCCTTCATGGGAAACTTGTTCCCTAATAGTACTTACAGGCAAAGTATTATTTTTGCCCATTAAAAACCACTGCTTTTAGAAGCTGAAGCAATTACAAATCCCAAACGTTGTGTGTATCACCATTTCAGCTAGGTTTACAAGCACATGTTAGGGTACTGAAGGAAAAAGTAGAATGAATTTAGTTTTTCTTCAGAGGCAGGCCTTTTAAGAGTAACACAAAAAAGCCCACTTTTTGACTTCTTAGAAATACCCTGGTTGTTTTTCTTTTTGCAGCCTACTAATGTTCGTGCTGCACATAATTATGGTGACTTGGATCCATTTAAATTTCGTTGGCTGATTCCTTTAAGTGCTCTTCAGGTTCGACTGGGGAACACTGCAGGTAATTCCCTTGCTCTGAATACTTCAGGACTGAACGCTTTTCGGGGGTTCTGTAATATTGCTTCTTCCATATGTCTTTCTGAAGCCTCTGGAAAAAGGCAGGTGCAGAGAAATCATGCTCTGCTGTTGTCTGTGCACTCAGGGGGTGCAGGCTTGATACATCAACAGACTTTATTCATTTGGTGTATTGGCTTCTTCCACGAGTTCAGGAAGATGTAACACAACGTGAAGGAATGACGGAATGGAAATCCCCAAAGAAAAGATACCATGAACAGGAGGGTGATTTACCATGGTTGGCATCCTGGTGATGCCCTTATGCTGTGTTTGTGCTGACCCTTGTGTTTTTCCAAATGTGGGAAAACTGACAGTGTCATTTGTTGTAGTTGAGGGCTTTATTTTCTGTTTTTTATTTTCCATCCGAGTTGGTCTTTATGATCCTATCCAGTTCTCCATGTGCTGCCAAGTGTCCCCAGGTGTTTAGAGCAACTAAATGCTTTGTGCACCTGGGAGAAGGCCTTTTAAGGCTGGAAGGCAGCAAGAAGCAATAGCAACGGGGGAAAGCAACTCTCCAAGAGAGAAGTTAGGCACCACTAGGCTGTTTTGGGGGCTTTTTCTTTGGGTTCCATCTCGGGTGTTATCTTCTGTGGATCCACCCAGGGCTATGTTAACACTGCCTTCAGGAATGGAGGAGTGATGTTTCTCACATGAAAAGTTTTGTGAAGTATATACAAAAATAACGTTTCCTTCCATGCACAGGAACAGAGAACAGCTGCATCTGGGAACTGATTCACACAAAGTCAGAACTAGAAGGCAGGCCAGAAACAATTTTTCAGTTGTGCAGCAGGTAAGGTTTACACAGAGGTTGTATTTGATAAGTCACATTAATGGAATTAAAAAAAAATAAGAGCTTTGCCTTTGTGACCTATGCATCAGCACTTCTAATGCAGCTCTTGCTCTCTGAATCCAGGCGCTATGCCAGCGTTCAGCTGCATGAAGTAAAACAATTTGAAATGGGAATGAACTTGGTGCAGTGATCCAGCATCAGAAAACTGCACACAATCATACAGATGTATGATTATAAATTCTAGTACGATATGGGCTAAGTAACTGATTTTATCAGACTCTCAGCTGGTTAGCAGAAATTACTTCTGGTAAAGACCACTTAAGGGGTGATCCCTTGGTACAGAAGTTACCTTTCAGGCCATTTTTCTAAGGGGAAATAACCAAGTTCTCAAAACACAAAGTGTGTGAAATGCCTAACAACACGTAAAAAAGTGTTAAAAAACCAAACCAAACAATCCCAAACTTATGGGCTGAAGTTGTGCCAGGATAGGTTTAGACTGGATATTAGGAAGAATTTTTCTGTTGAAAGAGTGGTGTGAAGCACTGGAACAGACTGGCCAGGGAGGTGGTGGAGTGACCATTCCTGGAGGTGTTCAAAAAATGTATGGATGTGATACTTCAGGACATGGTTTAGTGGTCATGGTACTGTTGGGCTGATGGTTGGATGTGATGATCTTAGAGGTCTTTTCCAACTGTAATAATTCTATGTTTCTTTGATTCTGTTAGCTGCAAAACCACAACTAAAGCAAGCTACTTAAAAACCCCCACTGAACTAAAGTACATCAGCACAAAGGAGGTGGGCAGTGCCTGACTTCAAGAGAGGAAAATTAGGTTATCTGTTTTTTTAAATTTGCAGTGACTGTGAGAACAAGACCAACATCGTGAAGGTGATCCGTTCTATTTTGCGAGAAAATTTCAGACGTCACATAAAATGTGAGCTGCCACTGGAGAAAACATCTAAAGATCGCCTTGTCCCACTCAAGAACCGTGTACCTGCGACAGCCAAACTGGGTAAGAAACATGTTCTCAAAGTGAAAAATGGCATCTGGACTCCAGCACTGGCAGGTTTGCAGTTATTACCATGACTGTAGTGTGTCATGTGCCTGACCCCCTAATCCCCCTTCTTTTTTGGGCTGGGGAGTTGGTAAGAGTGTCTCCGTAACTCAGTGCCTGAAAAGGGTTAGAGGAGATCAACAAGTTTGCCATCCCCCCACACTGTGATGTGTTGTTACCTCTCTTAAGGGAAAACTTAATAAGCCCAAGTTAATTTTGCTGGGAAGAAACAGACTCAGTTTGTCGTAGAGCATTAGTGTTCTTTCCTCGGCCTTCTTTTAGTAACTTAGGTCTAGTAACATTTAAAGCTAGAACAGCTGGCAAAAGGCAGGGGTCTTGGTTCTTTCAGGGCACTAAATCTGCATCCCAGCAGATACCCTAATTACCAACAGGCTCCATATATTTTAGTTAAATGAGTAGCTACTCGTATTTCAAATTCTCCATCTGATGAGTTGTCTGTAAAATCCTCTTAACATCACAGGAACTGGGACAGTTCAACTCCCACCTACAGCCTGGCCCTCCAGTGCTCGAGGTGCCTGAATCAGTCTTGCCTTCTTGGGGATGTGTGTTAATGATTGCAACAATTTTCGGAAGTTTTTGTCTGCAACCTATGTGAAGGCAAGAATATAGACCTGGGGGGGTAGGTGGAATGAAACCTCATGACGTTGAATCCCACTGTCAGTATCAGAATGCTGACACATCCTGGGAGGATTGTCCAATGAGACTATGTACGTTGTAATTGTAAGGGGGCCACTGAGGCAGACAGTGTGACCCACTGATGTTTTGCTGAGGAGATGAAACTGCCTTCTTCCTCTTCACAGGATCTACGAGGTCCTTGAAGGTACTGAAGAATTCATCCAGTAGCGAGTGGAACGGTGACCCGGGGAAAGGCACCTTCCCGGACTCGGATGAGTGCAGCCTGAGCAGCAGCACGCAGAGCAGCAGCTGCCACACTGCTGACAGCATCCAGGAGCCCAAAAATCCATCTCCCGATCAGCACGGACCAAGCTGCGCCCCTGACTTCTCTAACGTCCTTGTCAAAGAGTCCGACATTCTCAGCGATGATGAAGACGACGACTACCAGGGACTGAAGAAGGGCAGCCCTACGAAAGACATTGAAATACAGTTCCAACGGCTGAAGATTTCAGAGGAACCAAGCACTGACTCTGAACGAGACCAGGCTGCTGAAAACGAGGAAGGAGACGGCTTCGAGAGAGGAGAGCAGCCAAAGCTGGTGCGTGGCCACTTCTGCCCCGTGAAAAGAAAAGTCAACAGCACAAAGCGTAACAGAGGAACTTTAATGGCAATGCAGGAACGTCACCAGTCCCTTGATAGCCACTCTGATGCTGCAAACCTGGACCTGAACTCTATTTTAGAGAGAGAATTTAGCGTCCAGAGTTTAACGTCTGTAGTTAATGAGGACTGTTTTTATGAAGCTGTGGAGAGGCATGGGAAATCCTAGCTGTCTAAGCACGACATTTAAAATATTCATTTGAAGTCCACATAAAATTCAACAAACTTATTTTGCTTTACAACTAGTAAATTCATGGAAGCTGCAGGAAAACTACTATCTGATTTTGTGCACTAATACATTTTTTTTTCCCACAAAAACAGCTGTAAAGGATTCTTAAGTTATTTTAATTTATTGTGGATCAAAACTAGATTACATTGGCCAAGGTCTGTAAATTAATTCATCCCTTTCATGCAGTCGAGGTGATGCGTAGTGCTCTTGGGGAAGGGAGGGGAGGGGAAGGATGGCCTCATGAGTTTAGGTAATGTGGAAAAGGTGCTAGTGAGTGGCAGAGGGGATTACAACGGGAAGTAGCATTGCAAAATGATTTTTTTCAATACCTTGGGCATTTTATCTCTCTGGTTTTTGTTTTTGCTTTATTTAAAGCAGAGTTAAGTTATTTTCATGTGTTTTAGTGCACAATAGTGCAGAAATTTCATTTTTGTAAGTTTCAGGATGCTGTTTATACTTTATATATATATGTGTAAATACAAAAGAACAAAGCTTGGCCTGTAACCTTTTATTTGGCTGTATTTTTTATTTCCTCTACCAGCCTGTACAGTAAAAGACAAATAAGTGTTGTACTTCGCCATGTTTTCTACTTTTTATCATGCTGCTTTTCTCTAGGTGGAGCTTTAAATCCCAAATTCTTTGGTTTTGCATAAATGCAAAGAGTATTAGCAGACCTTAGGGCAATCTGTGCACTTTATCCTCCTTTAAGCCAGTCACTTGAGTATTTTTATACAAGAGTTTTGGCTTTTTGAACATTACCCTGTACAGTAGGCTGTTGCACATGAAATATGAAAACTATTTTTTCTTACATTTTAATAATGTACCTTCATACAAAACTCAATTAATTCAGAAGTATCTCAACTTAATTACATCTCTCACAACATACCTTGTTCTTGGTATGTATTCTAGCCATTCCCTTGAAGTAAGAAGAGCCAGTAGGTACTTCGTAACTGGACTGTCTTTTCACTTTTGTCTGCAGCTGAATGGAATGAATAAATACAGTGGAAAATCCCTTGCTCTCCACCACTTTCTCAGCAGTAGCTCTTCCATACCTGCACAGCTGTAGGAGTATATCAAAGCACCCATCTACTGAATGAACACCTCTACATCAAGGAGTTAACACTAATTTTAAAAGTCAGTCTGCTGCAATTACAACTGATTGTCCTCTTTAGTCCTTTTTGGCTGACGGGTGCCTTTAAGTCAATTCCTCATCTTCTTCTTTTGCCTCAGTTCTTCTCTGTAGTTGTATGGAAAAAGGCTTGGGTCTTCATCACACATTTTTCTGTATGTATCGCACAGACTTCTAAACTGTGACATGGAGAGCTGAAAAGGACGCAGAGTCGGATCAACATTTGCTGTCATCATCAGCTGTTCTGTTCTTTTCAAACGTCCACTTTCAGGAAACAAGATCCTAAAAGGTGTGGGAAGAAGACAAACAAAATCAAACAATTTAGACAGACGATTCAGCTTCCCTTAGAGTTAACTGGATCCTCTTGGGAGTTTTTAATACAGGTTTATTACTAAGTGCACCACTGTTATAGCTCTTGCACTCCTAATAGAGCTCATTACCTAAGCAAATGGAACCCCGTAAAAGCCCTTTTTCTGCCAATGCAAATTATGACTCCATAGGAAAGCACAGACATACACTATACACTAAACACATGCGTGCATGTTCATGTTCACTAGAAGAGCTTTGGGTATGGACACCATCACAGAGACTTCTTAGAATTAGTATTGTATTTAGAGAGCAACAAGAGATTAAACTGTGCAAAACATCAGATCCGAACCACATCATTTTCTATTAATTGGGCCATTTCATTCTAATGGGAAAGATACTGTTACCACTTGTCAATAGAAATGTAATTCTAATGCCAAAAAAAAACCACAAACCAAGAAGAAGAAAAAAAGAAGTATTTAATTATCATTCACTTTTTGATATTTAGAAATTGAAGAATGTGCCAGGAGTTCTAGATTTTGTCTTCAACTGTTCATAGTCATAGCAGGTCACTTACTTACTTTGTGGCCAGATACATTAGTACCTTTCTCACAAGTTCTCCAAATTTTAATGAATAGTATTAGTTCAAGTGATTTCTAATGTCTCACAGAAACGCATACTACAAAGTGCAAGCTGCTGAAAGGATTAGCTCTTACTCAGCAGTAGTTCTCTGTCTACAACACATCAGGAAGGCAGAAAAATTTGCACATGGTTGATGTGCAAGTCTCAATTTTCAAATGATCTGCCTCTGTCATACACAGAAAATGCCGTGTGTCTAATGCAGTAACAGCCCCAGCTGCGTTTGGCAGGTTGGCTGGACAAGCTAGTCAGTGATGGAGCATGTACAACGTCTCTGGGTGACCTGTTCCAGGTCGCCACCCTCACAGTGAAGAGCTTCTTTCTTACATCTAATCTAAATCTACCCTCTTCCAGTATGAAGCCATTAACCCTTGTCCTATCACTACAAGCTCTTGTACAAGTCCCTCTCCAGCTTCCTCGTAGGCCCCCTAAATACTGGAAGGCTGCAAGATCGCTGTGGAGCCTTCTCTTTCCAGGCTGAACAACCTCTTAGGCTCTCAGCCTGTCCTTATAGGAGAGGTGTTCCAACCCTCTGATCGTTTTCGTGGCCCACCTCTGGACCTGCTGCAACAGGTCCGTGTCCTTCTTGTGTTGGGGGCCAGAGCTGAATGCAGTACTCCAGGTGGGGGCTCACAAGAGCAGAGTAGAGGGGGAGAAGCCTGCCAGCCACACTTGTTTTGATGCAGCCCAGGATCTGGTTGGCTTTCTAGGCTGCACTTGCACATTGCTGGCTCATGTTGAGCTTTTCATCAACCAGCACCCCCAAGTCCTTCTCCTCCTCAATCATATTCTGATATATACAGACTACACACTGTCTTCCAACTGTCCATGAACAGCAACTCAAAACTACAGTTGTTATTTTTCTTCACGAACTTAATAGCTTACTCTTACCTGCTGTGTCTAAAATCCCAGAATTTACACACAAATGCAATCTGAGTCTATTACCTTGTTTTGATACAGTAAATGTGATAGACAGATAACTTATAATGAACTTATTTTTTTCAGTTCAGCTGAAGAATAAGAAGATTGTTTCTTAGCTGCACACTAGGACTAAAGTATGATAAGCTGCTAGGGGATATGTGACAGTCAAAAGTTCAGACTGCCCCTCCTTGCCTCAAAAGAATATAGAGCAGTTATTAGCAATTTGGGGTCACACAACAATTGTTAGGTTTGTGTGACCCCACACTTTTTTAAAAAAACTTCGGTAAAAATATTCTTCTTAATGTAGATATGCCGATAGCCCATGCCTTCTGCTTGTACTGTCAACTGAAACTGTTCTCCACAAAAAACCCCAAACCATAACCCTGTAAATCAAATACAAACCTAGAGTTCAGATACCATATATTTCTAACCACCTCCAAATACACGCTCAAACTTTAATAGAGGCAAACTGGTACTCATGTTAGATCCCATGTCAGCTAGCCCAAGCTGCAGCAGCAGGACTCTAGTCCAAACAGCAGCTCTGTCAGCTGCCCTGCAGTGCTGGGTGCCAGTGTTTGCCCATACCGACCCTGGCACGTGGCTGTGCTGGAGTTTTAACAGGGTCCTTGGTGAACAGACTGCACCTTTCTCACATCAGTTAGAGAACTCAGTGAGACAGAGAGATTTTAAAAGAATCACTAAGAACTCCATAAAAGGGCAAGCACAGAAACAAGCATCTGACTTGTTGACATTATTCTCAAGTAAGTAAGGTTTCCTACAGATGACATTCTCCTTCTCACACTGCCATCTTTGGTTCTCAGTTTTGATACTTCCATTTCTTGTGGCTCTTTTTGGTTTCTGAGACAGACGAACTACTGGAAAGATCATCAATTTATCCTAGTAATTTGAACAACTTCAACTGCACTACCAAAAATGCACAGCAATTATTATATAATTACAGCAGAAAAAGATTCATCTCATACTGTTATCTCCAGAAACTATTCTGAAATTGAAAGACCTTACAAACTACGATGACAAATTTAAAATGGGAGGAATAAAATCAAATGCATAGCTACAATTGTTTCTTAACTGAATTAGTAGCTGACACATTTACAAAAACATTATCTGAGAGTATTTAAATTTCATTTCCTTACTCAATTCCACGGAAGCAGTATTTTCTTCTAAACTGAAAAACGCTTCTAACCACTTTTTCCACTAGCTCGAATGGCTGCTGTATCTTTGGCTGCACCAGTGGGGTAAAATGCACCACAGCCACATCCACCTATATGGAAAAGAAAGATAAATTTGAGTAGATATACTCCTCTGAGACATTATTTCTAAGTTAACTAGCTAGACATCAGGAAACAGGCAGAACATAGGAAGGCATTACTGCAATAGGTAACAGCTGTGCAGTGATTAATGTCACAGCATTTGAATATAAAGATGTGGCTTAACTTTCAAGGCCCTACAGAATTTTAGTCTTAGTTATCTACATATTTCCAATTAGTTCACATGCCATTAGTACTTAGTATTATTTCCCCCTCATGGCACTTCCTTCATCTAGAACAACTTCCATGCAATCTGTAAAGTAATTAGCACTTCTTCCTTCAGATCCTTCCACAAGACAATTCTGACACGATACACAAATTAGACAATATTTGATACACAGGCTGAAGGGCAGCTGGAGAAAATTGGTATTATAATTAGAAATCAAACCTATTCCCTATATATTTTCTGTCGCTCTAAGGCTTTTCTAAAATGTAAGCCAAGGAATTACTTTTCAACATATTAAGATTCTAAAATTCTAGCCCATTTAAAGGCATGGTAGATAAATGTAAGTCTGCATCTCGTTTAAGTGACTGTACAACTAACTCCATATTTACAGTGTGTATCACAGTCCATCCAAACTTATATTTGAATGATTCTACAATCATTTTTTTCAAGTTTCTTTTATAGTTCTAAAATCAGCTTGGTTCACAGAATGATCACTTTCCCCGCAGCTGAAAACAATGAAATCATATCCTCCCTTCAATGTACACATGTATACATATAAAACCCACAAAATATATCACACAATTATAGAACTACTGGATTCTACAGAAATGCCCTGAATTCAGACTTCTGTATTAAAAAAATAACAGGCTGGGCTAGAAATACCGTGCTGCATATCATCAGATAAAGTACCATTTTCCAAACTAGATACTAACAACAATAAAAAAATAGTAATAATTAAAAAAAAATAAAATCTGTGGAGTAGCACACTGAAAATTTGCACAATTTGTCCAAGTAATGGTACCAAATGACTACAAAATTTGTAAGTGCTAGATTTAAAGTACTATTCAATCTTTTATTAAAAACATCTGCTAATACGATGGACAATCATCCATTTTTTTAGAAGGTCTGAAAGTCAATACTGGCATTCACAGAATAGCTTCTGTGACACTAAATTGAAGATGTGCTAGTTCTGACAGAAAGAAAAGATACACTCAGGCCAAAGAACGGTTTCTGTACTAAACACACTCTCAGTGTACCAATTGTTTGAGAGAACCCACAGCAAGAGAGTATGTCCAAAAAAGAGGGTGTTTCTTGTCCTGTTTTAACAAAAACAATTCTAAGTTTGTGGGGCTTTTCTTTTTCACTTTATTTTTAAATCAAATAAAACATATTTGGTTTATTTAATTTTAAAATATTTTGTTTTGTTTTTGAATCAAATAAAATATAGCAACCTCTGACTCTTCTGGCACAAAGGTGCCATCCATCCATATTGTACTTTTAGTGGGAACAGCTCAGCTGTCAAGTACATCTATGCAGTACAACTGCTCTGACAGCACAGGTATTATACTTGCTCTCTACAGAAATGGTGAAATTTCAGTTTTTCATGTAGATAGAACTTACAAAGCTGAATGAAAACACTGGCTAGAGAAATACTGCTATGCATGCCAATTAAGAAAAAAACACAGCAAGTGTCCAGCATTATCACTGCTGATTACAAGTATCTGTTACTTTCCCTCCTTTTCTGAAAGCTAGGGTTAAGAGTGAGACAGAAAAAAAATACTTAAATTACTGAAGTGTAAAGACACAAGAAACTATTTAAAAATGAAGTAACAAAGAAAACTTGACATATGGGATCTGCAGTGAAATGCGTATAAAAGTATTTTCCAACCAGCTTCTTGTTGGCTGATCTACACATGTGTATGCTCATCTACTTTTTTGTCAGGAAATAAAACAAGGTATTTCCCCCACAAAATTAGGGGTAAGAAAACTACCAGGGACCATTTGGGATCTCCTAGTCACCCCAATTTTGCAGAACTGCTTGGGAGATAAGAGAACTCACTGGGAGTTGGGAGCTGCACCTTTAACAAAAATTTCTGAAGAAAAAAAAAAAAGAACACAATCTAGATGCAGTGTACAGTTTAAGAGAAAAGCAGTTCAATTTGCAATCTCAAGGCCAGTGAGCAATAATTTCTCCTTCTGAAACAAAACACAGCCCTTCTCAGCATTTGTTCCATTACAGACGCTGTTTTCTTTGGACCCCAGGAAAGCTGCCTGGCTGCTATAGCAACAGATACAGGGGGAAGCTTTTCACTTGTAATTGACTACTCTGTTACAATTATACATGTTATTTTTCCCTAGCCTTTTTAATATGCATAAAATAGAGAGTAGAATTATGAAAGCTAACAGAGTACACAAGAACACTTACAATACACAAACTGATTTCCTGATAATTTCATTAGTAATACCTTTTTTCCACCCCACCAAGTATGTCAGAAGTACTTACAAAACAATACTCCATTCTTATATAATAATGAATATGAAAATTATTCCACTGCTATATCCTGAACTGTCAAGAGTACAGAAATTATCAATCCCTTGCTTTCTTAGTCTATCTGTAAAATGAAGGTTTATCTTCGTGTAG